GAAATGTTAAAAGCAAGAGTCGTGACAATGTTCGACCATGACGGATTCACCTTGATCGAAAGTGCTGATGGAGTCGAAGGAGGACCACATTCCTACAATGGGCGGAAGCTTGTGGAAGCAGGCCCTAAGGATATGAAAGAGGTGTATGAATTTGTCGAGAAGGCATTTGTGCACTCCAGTTCCCTCACACCAAAGGCATGCCATCACTTCTATCCCCTACCAACACGGAGGGAGAAGGGATACAAGCCGATCGACCCCATGACGATGGTCGGGAAAGTTGAACTAGTACCGATCAACGGAGTCACCCAATAGACCAGGTTAGACTATTTTTTGTCTAAGGTCTATTTTGTAAAAAAATTGTCTATTAGATAACTTTTTTGTTGCCTAAGACAACATGATTTTTGGCTAAGACAACTTTTCAAAATTTGTCTAAGTCTATTTTGAAGAAACAGTCTTAGACTATTTTTGGCTGTGTCTGAGACAATTTTTTTGTCTCAGACAAATCAAAACTTCCTCAAAACTACCACAGGCACTGAGGAAGTTTACTTGCAGTTTCATCATAGGCATGAGGAAGTTTATGTTACAAAATTTGCATATTATTGCAGTTTCAGTCCATGTGCATGACAAACTTCCACACTTGCAGGTTGAAACTGCCTACAAATTTCCATCAAACTACCTCCAAACTGCCACAAAAAGAAAGGAAGTTTGAAGGAAGTTTTGAAAAACAGACGAGGTAGTTTCGAGGAAATTTCCTTGAAATTTCCTCGTTTGCAGCCGCGAAAATTTGTCTAAGACAGCAGATTTTTGTCTATTAGACAACTTTTGTTTTGTCTATTAGATAACTTTTCGTCACATAAAGTTGTCTAAGACAAATCACAAAAATTTATCTAATAGACAAATTTTAAGAAATTGTCTATTAGACAATTTTTTGTCTAACCTGGTCTATTGGGCACTTTCGCTGCAAAGAACTCCGACTACGGCAACCACAAGTATCCGACTCCAGACTGTCGAGTACGTGAATACAGCCAAACGAGCCAGGCCCTGAGTCGTCGATTGGGAGCGAAGTTGAGACACCGAATTGGACGCCAGTTCAGGACAGGAGGAAGACTCGCACCAATCAAATGCGATGAAGGCGCATGGGTGTCATGGGAAGACCTGTTAAGTGATAATGCAGTTTGGGAAGACGGTTATCACTACGGCAACATAGATATCGTGACCAAGAAGGCGCGTTTGGAGAAGTACTTCGACCAAAACTATGAGTGTTTCCGCATGACCAAGAGGGTCAGATTCCAAATGTTAGCGGTCCGTGTTCACCCTGATGAACTCAATGAGCCTGATGACCCGATGGAGAAGGGATGGATTAACGAACTCAAGGACATGGGAATCTCTAAAGGAAGACTCCACCATAGCGATGGATGGTGCTTTCCCGTGGCTGTAAGAGCAACCTCGGCACACTCAACGGACGGCGGAGGTTATGACGTTACCATTGACATCGACCACATTGGGTCGAGAATGACCAACGACATGGCCCTATCTATGGTGACTGCATTTCACGCTACCAATCTCGGAGCGCTGACTTCAATCATGCGACGAGGGCTAGTGCCGGGAGGTCTCGGTTCATCGGGAAGGGATTCTATCCACTTCACATGTTTTCCGCCATGGGCCTGGGAGCAGGGCTACAAGGGTAAACCTTGGCTGGGTCGTAAGGTCGCAATGAGGGATCGCCCAGTGGTTCTCTACATTCCGGTGTGGAAGCTGCAGGAGTACGGACTTCTCATCTCAGCGACTGGGTCTCTATTGGTTGAGGACGTCGTTCCCTTCGATGAGGTTAAAGGGGCATGGTTGCAATGCGACAATGCAGAACCCGGACAGCCTGAGAAGATCGAATGGATCCGGTTACTCAGTGGGGAACCCGACCCTGGAAGCTACCTTGTTCTAGAGTCCAAATACGGAAACCCGATCATGATTCCACGCTTTCAAAAGCTTGAGAGCTTAGCGGTTGAGGTTCAGGACGATACCTACTCCGAGGACGACGCCAAAATCTCAAAGCTGTTGGGTATGATCGAGGAGAGTGGTGTTTACCCAGAATATGATAACACCGAGTGGCAGGAACTCTTCGAGGAGATCGTGTACCGCCGAGCGATGAAAGACTATGATTCAAGACCGTGTCCTAACTGTCTTGGCGAAGTCGATGTGCGATTGACGATATGTCCGCACTGCGTAGCGGTTTTGATCGCGAATGGGAAGCTCACACATGTGGTACCCAAGGAGACAAGGGACCGCAATCAACGATCACCTCCGAAAGATGTCCCAGCCGGTTCTTCCGGTGAAACAACTTCTGCTGCAGGTGCAAACATCGATGAAGTCATCAAGAACGCACGCAAGACAGCCGAAGAGGTCATTGAGATCGAGGAATCCGAAGGAGAGGAAGAGGAGGAAGTTCCTATCATTTTGAAGGAACGACCGGACGAAGCTGAAGGCGAGCCCGAGTATCGGGAGGTCCCTCAAGATGGATACGGGAATGAACTTCCGAAGCCTTTCCCCTTCGCAATTGACGAATTGCCGCAAGAAGCTGCGATCCCCATCGACCACAACTTTGCCGTCACACAGCAATTTGATCTGAGGTTGATGAAGTTGATCAAGGGCTTGGCCAACGCAACGTTCGACACCAACTGCTTTGAGAGTCGTGAAGATGTACTGCGAATGTTCGACGATGGACAGCGGCATGACACTCCGCACAATAGATGGCCAATAGTACCGAAAGATCCGGATACTGGGTTTCCAAGACGTCTCAAGAGAGCCGAGGTCGTAGGTATGAGCAGATGGACCGACGACGTGTTTGCAGCAGAAGCGTGGCAGATCTATGAATTCCACGCCAATGTTGTTCATCCGATGATGATCACTGCAATCCGCTGCGGGCTTAGCCACAAGTACCTCAAAGAGGTCGGCAGCACTCAGCGCAGCATGAGTGATCCAAAGGCTCGAAAGTCTGAGACCCAGGATGAGATCATCGAGAAATTGGCATTCATCTCAAATTTCATCAGACGCATGATCAAGAAGACCTTCGGAGCGAGCCGATATAGTTACTACCAGAAACCAGATGACGAAAGTGCCGCTCCATACAAATTCATCGACATTAGTCCCGCCATCAAATCGGAGAGGAAGAATGTCACGAAGGAGATCCTCGTTGCATGCCGCTACTATGGCATAGAGGTATCCGATATCCAAGAGAGGAAATTGAAGTCCTTCGAGGAGCAGATCCGAGCGGGAAATCCAAGGAACGTTGAGCTCATCAAGGACTACATTGGCTTTGTCGGCGCTGACTACATGCGACAACTCACGAATGGTTGAGCATTGGGGTCATACCGACATGCTACTTCCGGTACTTCAAGTACTGAGGGATCGCGGGTAATTCATGATGACCGTTTTGGCATCATGGGAGCGAGATAGGATTGTGTCTCACACCGTTGGTAATCGCATGATACCATAGGTAGGTGCACGTTTTCCGCTTGTAGCTCCATTGCCTGTTTGATCCAACTCTCAAGCGAATGCAAGATCTTTTGCTAATTCAATTCAATAGGACATACTGGTTGACCTCCAATACACTTTTGAGAACGTGATTCGTTCTCCGGCTTTTACATCCACTCATCTCCCTTCCCCGTCGAAGTACGGATGTGGGGGGTGTCAATAGGGATGGGGTCCCAGTATAGTCGCTATACAGGTACATGCCATATACTTTTGGCTCAAGTGCCCAACCAGGTAAAAAGGAGCTTTAGCGCGCGAGCTTCATGTTGACCTAAGAGCTAGAACGGGGCCAGGGCACACCTTTCCATCCGTTCGCACCAAAAACAGCGATCCAACGATTCAACAACTTGTGTGCCACGTGCTCTGGTGTTCCATTCCTCAAAAGGGCACCTTGATGATAGTTGGTGGCAAGATCCACCATACTAAGTGCCACATATCGTTGACCAAGACAATCCTTCATGTACTTCAGGTCAATCGCCAACATCTCATTCAAGGTGTCTGGTCTAAGATCGCTTCGTGCAGCCATTGGTCGTTTCGGAACAGGTTCTGATCCACAAACGCTGCAACTGTACTTCAGAGCTTCATCCACCAACCATCTTTCGGCCCCGGCTAGTTTCAACATTCGTGCCAACGATTGGTTGCAGGGATGTCCCAGTCGCCGGTGCAGCGCATCTAATTGATGGATCTTGACAACTTTTCTTTCATGGTCTCCCTCCTCAATTGCTTCCTCCTCCAACGGGCGCCAATCTTTCTTTGGGCATGTTTTCTCTTTCCACAAAGCTTTCATTGATTTTTCCTTTCTTCAAATACGCCTCTGCTCCCTTCACCACAGCCTTGGCGAATTCTTTCGTGTGTCCTCCAGCGAAATCGGATAGGGCGTACCACTTGCCCTTGATCTTGACACCACCAAGCACTGGAGTGTGCTCGTGTTGCCCTTGACATTTTCTCTGACATGCCTCTAGGATCTCTCTTGTGCCTGCCAGGCGAGTCCTCTTCCTCAAATACAATGGTCTTCCATCTTCACTTTCCGCTCCTGGCTTCTTCAAGTTGAATTGACACATGTCGGTGACCACGGTGGGCATTCCTTGAAAAGCTTCAAGGATGTCTGGTTCTTGCCATGCCCGGGAGGTATATGGGTTCTCTCCCAGCAGTGCGCCCCCTCTTTCTCTCTGTTCTTTTACCACCTTCCTTACGAATCGCAAAAGAACACGATGTTTCTTCCTCATTTCAGCCAACTTCTGCCATTGATCTTCTGTCTTTCTTCCAAATTCTTGCAGCATGGACCAAAACTGACATGGCCATGCGATGACCAAAAGGTCTGGGTCGCACTCTCGAAGATACTGGATGGCTTCTTTCTGGTGATCTTCGCGAAAAAGGTCCCAGTTTGGCAAAGAAATCGGTTCTTGCATCTTCCAATTGCCCATGCCGACCGCACAGAGGGAGATCATGCAGGTCCATGTGAACAACTCAAGCACCTTCCGAGGCCCCGAGCGGTTCTTCTTCCGCTCGAACTTTTGTGCTTTTCCTTCCTTCACCTCTGCTTGCCGCCTCTGTGCCACTTTCCTTTCAAAGTGCACTTCCTTCAACTCTTTCGCTCCTTGTCGCACTTCACCCTTCTCCTTCTTGCTGAACCATTTACGAACGCCTTTGCAAAACCAACTGTTTTGGACTTCTTCATCACTTTCTTCGCTGTTTTCCTCCTCCTCGAGACCGAACTCATGGGAAGGTATAGAGACAGCATCTTCCTTCTCCGACCCCAATTCCCATTCTTCTTCATCACGTTGAGCCCTTTCAACCTCCTGAACCGGAAGCACTTTCATATCTGCATCCAACTTTTGCAATACCTTGCGGTACCTGGCATTCCAATCCTCCTCGCTCATACTTTCTTCTTCGCTTGAGTCATCTTCTTGATCTGATTCTTCTTCCTCTTCTTCACTTGTCTCTTCTTGCTCCATGTCCTTGACAGTGAATGCCCAGGAATGAGGAGAGCGACGAAGGAGCTGCAAGGTTTGTTGAATGTCTGCATCCTCCCAGAATTCACGGGTCTGGCAAAAATCCAGCAAACAGGCTGCCGGATGTCTTGTGCCTGTCAGCAACATGGTTTGCCATTGGCCTTTCATGCAAATCTTCTTCTGTGCAAAGTCCATCACCACTTGCCAACGGGCCATCTCTGAAGGTCCAATGAGTCCTGGACAGTTGATGGCTCCTCCTTGCACGGACGACATCCTGATTACATTCACTCCATGGATGCCAACCGGATTGATGAAGGCCTTGCGACTGACTTCTGGGTCTGATTCAAACTGGAATGTCTCATGTTCATCCTCTTCAAAAGTATATAGATCACATGCTTGAGGTCGCAATCCCGGCATGCTGCATAGTGCCCATCCCCATTGGAAGACCACCTCAGTCGTTCAAAGGGGTGTCGGCACCTCAATTGCCTCTCATTTGGCGTTGGCGCGCACGATGAAGGCTTCAATCGACCATCTGTGAACTGGCCATCATAAAGATCTCGACGGAACTGTTTGAGCATTCGGTCTTTGACTGGCTTGGGGATGTCCTTCCGTCAAGCCTCTTGCATGTAGCCAGCAGTCCTGTCTTTCACCTTGGTTGGAGAGGGGGATATGGGCCTTGCGTCATCGAGCCTGTGGCTGTGTGATCACGTTCTTCATCTTCGGAGCTCTCATAGTACGGCAAAAGAAGCCTGCCCTTGTCCAGACCATCATACGCTGCTTGCTTCTCTTCTCTCTCAAGAGCCTTCTGAATGCGCTTCTTCTCTTCTTTGGTCATATGGGGAAGACCTGCAAGCACCTCCTCTGGACTGGCCCTGATCTTTTCCCTCTCTCTCTCTCTCCTGCCCCTCTCTTCCAACCCAGCAGCCTCTCTCAGCAGCTCTTTTCTCATGTGATACTTGTAGGTCCTTGGCTTGTCTTCCTTTTGCCCCCTGCTGCTTTCTGAACTGGCCACCTGCTCCTCTTCATCATCGCGGACCACTGTCCATCCCCTCTTATTTTCAGCCATCCTCTCATCGTGTGGCAATCGTGCACCACACTGAGAGCAAAACTTGGAAGCAGCGTGTGTAGGCCATCGGCATTGGGGACATGAGAGATGCACGGCTGGAGAGGCGGCCTTTGACATCGGCTCTTCTTTCGTCCTCGTCTTGGTCGTCGAGACCACATAGGTGAAGTGAATCGTGTTGCCACCTGATCCGGTGGTCGCTGCAGAACTGGATCTCTGAGGCTTGTCCTTGCCAGCCTTCACCTGTGGGCACTCAGGGTCGCCTCGCCAATGCACAGTGCGACATCTTCTTCATGGCCACTGAAGGCGGCAAAGAGCCACCACCTGACGTAGTCTTTTGAGGCCCACTCCAACCGCGACTCTTCTTCCAACTCACCTGCGCCTTTGCCTTCCATCCTGCACTGTATGCTTCAAGAATCTCCGCCTCCTCATCTTCGGGATCATCTCCTTCTTCTTCCAGTTCTTCTTCCGGAATGGCAGTCATCTCTGTTTCATCTTCCTCATGTGCATCGTTCTCATCCTCCTCAAAGAAAACGTCCTGAGTGGCTCCTTCTGCCTCCAAGTCCTCTTCATCTCCAGCGTCTTCATGGTCAGCGACATCACTTTTCCTGAACGTCTTCTTCACAAGCACCTTCTTCTTCTCATCAACTGGCTTTCGAAAGGGACGTCCAACGGTCTGTCGGTTGGCTGTTGGGACCTTCCTTTCATCTTCATGCGTTGTTGCACAACGATGTCGAAGGGCTCGTTCAATGGCGTCCAACCATTCACGACGTGTCAATGCACAACGGTTCAACAACCTCTGGCCCCAGGCTTTGTCAATGATGGATCAACCCGTTGATACTGAGCCTTCAACCGCTTCATCTGGCCAATGTATACCGCCACAGGCTGTCCTGGAAGCCTTCGGTATTGACCGCAATTCAGCCCTTTCAGACTGTTCCTCCTCCGACTCCCCAAAAGCTTCATCACGGAGTCGCCACAACAGTCGAAGTCCTCCTGGCCTGGTGTACTCGGCGATGGGAGACTGGTCTAAGCAATCCCTCGCGTCTTTCCGAGTTGACAAGTAGATCAGCATGGCCAACTCCTCCTCATCCAACCGGTACAATTGCTGCTGGGCTTCAACAGCTCAGCTTTCTTCCACTTTGTATACCGGTAGCGTTCGCCGGCATACTCTTCGATCTTCACGCTCCCTAGGGAGCTCTTCGGTCGCTCTAACTGTTGTTTCACTCTCCGCTTCAACATCGACCATGGCCGAGGTGTCAGCTGACGACATGTCGTCGTTTTCTGACTGCGTGGACGAAGTCGGATCCGTACCAGGTGCCCCGTGATGGCATGGACCGCATGGAAATTGGCAAGGATTCCACATCCACGGATTTAGTGCCCAAGGAAACCCACAACCAGTGAAGTTCGGTGGAAAACAGGGATGCCCTTGTGGTACTGGAAAAGGAAAACCATGACACATGCCGGGACCACATGGAACTAGACCTGGATGCCCTCCTGAAATGCCGTGACCCCCATGAACGCTAAGCCCAAACATCATAGGTGTCGCTGCTCCCGATGCCATCGGTGATGAACAGCCACATGTCGCTGAGAACCCTGGTGGTGAGCCCATGGAATTCAGCACTTGGGTTTGAGGCAAAGTCAACGAAGGGGGAGCCGAAAGTGTCGTTCCGTCCATCCCATGCTCCGGCAAATGACGCATACTCTCCATAGGGACACACTGGCATGATTGATCGCTGGCAGCAGTCAGTCATCGGCGCAAACATCGAGCCCTGCGAACCCACGGCGTCACCGTGCAAAGGAAGGGGACTATTCGGATCGCCTCCCCGATTGCCTTGGTGAGGCTCTCGGGCTCCGCTACCAATGTTTCACAAATCGAACTCGCCACAGAATACCACCAAAATGCAAAAGATGGGGCCACCTAAGGACCCGAGAAAACACACCAAGCAAAGCAAAGCAGAGCTAGGGAGCGAAAGCTGTTTTCGCATCTGATCGGCAACGTTACCTGCGGTATGTGCAAAAGTGCGGAAGTGATCTCATGTCAATGCCTTTCCGTTCAAAGCAAAACTTTCACACACAATCTTCTTGTTCCCTCAAGCAGCAGAGCTGCACAGCAGCAAAACTATCTTGTATTATCCCCCTGGGAATAAACCCTATAGAATGAGGAGCTCGAGTCCCAAGACCAGGGGTCATTTTATAGGGGCCCAAGTGGCCACGTTTTGCTATAGAATGAAAAACATGCACACACATATAAGTGATATGTTGGAGCTCTGAACATAGTTATGGAACATGTTTATATTTTATAGTGACTTTTGGTGGTCATGTTTTGAACCAGGCAAAGGCAGGTTTTAGATATTATAGTGTTATGATTTTATAGTGAACATTATTTAGACGTCCATGTTTTCATTTTATAGACTTTGATGTTTGGTAGGGAATGCAACTTATAGAGGCATCATTGGCTTGTGTGAGTGCGTGTTTTCATTTTATAGAGATGTGAGATGATGTGAGCGTGTCTTGGCTGCTTCTGCAAAACATGGGCATTTTTGGCTGCGTGTAGTGGCAAGCTAGCCCATGAAGACAAGAAAAGGGAAAGCAGAACCAATATGGCCTCATGAATCCTCATGAATCAAAGAAATGAACATCTGTCAACAATCATCAACAATCTCCAAGCGTAAAGATTTTGATCAGAATCAGCCAGAGATTTGGCTGATTCTATGCTTCTGGGCCATGCCAGCACCTCCAGATTGTCCATCAGTATGCGAGTCTCGCCTAAATTCCAATGAATTCAGATGAAAAAGATTGAAAAAGACGAAGCGACAAAAACATAAACAAGTTGAAAGCATTAGCCTGCATTAGCACTGTTGCAAGTGATGTTCTGTTTCTATGCCCGTGACTGACATCTCTCAGGGTATTATGACCTGTGCTTCAGATGTAAACACACCAGAGTGGGACGGTCGACGCGGAATATACAGTGCCTAGACAGCACAAAGACAAAGACTATATGTTTAAAAATGCTTAAATATGTGTTTTATTGTTTTTATATTGTTTTTAATGCTTTTTATTTTATATGTGTACTATTTTTTTTGTTTGGTCTGATGTTTGCAGAACATTGATGTTGGCTATAACCAAGGTTCTAATTGCAAAAGCACAGGGAAAAACGGTCGGCCAAGTCATCACTGTGTTTATTGGGACAAGCATCTTGGCTTAACTTTACAAAAGTCAGAGAGATTCACAGGTTTTCTTAGCATTTCGCAGCTTTGCTTGGGATTCAAGTTCTTGGTAATATCAACACCGACCCACTCCTTCCAGAAATTCAACTGAGGCAGGCGCAACAATGGAAATGGACAGTGGTAATTTCAAAGGTGGCACCTGTACGAAAGGGGATTTGTGATTCTTGGATGAATTCTGGGAGGGCTTGGATTGGCGGTGTGGAGGGGTGTGGAAAGATGCAGAGGACATTCCAGGATGAGTCTGAAGATGTCTGAAGCATTCTGAAGCTTTAGTCTAAGAACCTTAGGAATCTGAAGTATTTTGCAAATTTTGGGGAGCAAATCTTGACATACGTGGCAGATCCGGCTGTGAGTTCAGTTCACCTGTGCAGTAGTACTTCCAGATAGATCACGATTTCTCGCCTGTGCCATGATGATGCTTTTGATGAAAGCTGTCCTGGCATGCTTGTGTTCTACTGCGGCTTGTGCTGGTGGAGCAGCTTTGCCAGACATTAGCGCTGACACCACCTGCTCTGTGCCAGAAGAACAGCAACATGTATCAATTCATATAAGATTTTGGTATATTTCGATGAGTTTAACCCATAGAATGAAAAGCTAGCCATGAATGCACCATAATGCACCTATTAAATTAGTAGGTAGCCATGAAACCCTGGGATCTTTCCTATGAAATGAATACACAACCAGAGAATACCAGAAAAAAAACATGCTGAATACCAAAATCAAACCATAAGTAGACCCACTGGTGTCAGGTCTTAATTTTATAGTGTTTCTTCTATTTTGATGGTGTACATGTTTCATTTTATAGCGCACTTTGTGTGAGGTGGTTCCTTGCTGAACAGCACGAGCAAGAGATTTACCATTTTGCATCTTCTTGGACTGGAGAGCGAAGTTTGCATATGGTCGATATTTTTAGTGCCTCTCAGGGGTTGGCGACCCTGGGTTGCAACTCTTAAAAAAAAAACAAACTGTTTTTCGGGATGGTATTTTTTGGTATTGTTTGTTCTATAAATATAGTTACAAGTAGTTTTATTGCGTTCCAGTTTTGTGGGCAGCGAAGGAAGCAATGGGCACGGGCTGGCTTCAAGAGTGCTGCCTATGACATCAAACTTTCACCTTTGCATGACTTGTGCACTAGGTCTGGTTTCATGATGTTGCTGACAATGTGCCTTTCGAGCCTCAGATCAGCTTTGGATTTCTAAAACAGATATGCCTTTCCTGTATTGCCCAATGTGTGTTTTGGGTTGGTTGATTTGACCAAATGACAGATTGTAAGGATCCTTTTGGCTTAGCTTTTTGCGCCCCACCTTGCAGCCTCTTCATTGGGGCTTCTGCTTCAGTTCACCTCCGCAGAATGTGGAGGCTTTATGGAGATGAAAGCCGATTCTGTGTTCGACTGGCAAACAGAATTTGGAAGAATATGGCGACCTGTATGAATGAAAATAGAATCTTCGAGGTTTGGTTTTAAACAAATCGATATACAATATATTACAATATTATACAATGATATCTGTATATATCTACTTATATATCTATATACTTAGTGGCTATGAGTGGTTCGTGGGGCCACCAACAAGTGCTCATGTAGCTTGCTTGAAGGTTGTGATGCGGTTGAACCGCCAGATCCATTTCATCTTGGAGCAGCCAGCCCAGTCCTGGGGTTTCAAGCTTCCAATTGTGACGGAGATCAAGAAGGCAGCAAACATGACGCTTGTAGATGTCAACTGTGTCTCTTTGTCCGCGGAGGGTGGGGTGGGTGGGGGGTGGGGGGTGAGTTTGATTTTTTAGTGGCCACATGTACATGGTTATGGCTTGTGACTGATTCTATAGGCTGCCACTGGCTGCCTATGTTTGTGCAGTTTTTGGTGCTTGCCAGTCAGGAAGATCACAACCACATGGTTGGCATTCTTTGGCGCTGACCTATGCAAGCCGCTTCACCTGCTATCTGACCTGTCAGTAGTGAACGAGTTGAAGCGAACCATGTCTGCTACCTCCAGGCTTTTCTACAAACAACTCCGATTTCCGCAGAGGCTGCTGCAACTCCAAATTTGACAGAGGCTGTGGCAGAGCCAGCTCCAACTCCGATTTCCGCAGAGGCTGCTGCAGCTCCAAATTTGACAGAGGCTGTGGTAGAGCCAGCTCCAACTCCGATTTCCGCAGAGGCTGCTGCAGCTCCAGACTTGACAGAGGCTGTGGTAGATCCAACTCCGATTTGCGCAGAGGCTGCTGCAGTGGTGGAGCCAGCTCCAACTCCGATTTCCGCAGAGGCTGCTGCAGCTCCAGACTTGACAGAGGCTGCTGCAAAGACTGCCGTAACACGAATTTGTTTGATTTATTGAAACTTTCTGAATATGTTTGAATATGATTGAATACTGTACCCTAATGCGTGTTTACGCCCGGTCAGGAATCCTTTGATGAGTTGGAAGCTGCCATGAACGAATTTGAAGAGATTGAGAAGCAATGGAGCATGCCGTATACTGCTACAGCAGTCCCTACAGTGCCTGAGCTGAGTGCAGCTATAAATATGACTTCCCCTATAAAATGGATATCCAACCATTTGAAGCACACCATTTACTATAAAATGAAAGTAGGCCCAGAAAAACTTTTTTTGTTTTACCATGGGACCAAAGACTGGCCAAACATGTGTTTGGGTGCGCTCCATCTTCATTTTTGGGTATATGTTCTTTGGTTTGATGGAAAGACCACAAGAGACCTATTAGATCCTATTAGCATCTCTTGAGGAAAGCCATGGTTTCTGTTGGAGGGTTCTGTAAGGGAGAGTTCACTTGTTGGTATGGGCTTGACTTGGATTTTTTAGCAGCTGACCCAGGATGCTAGGGCGCGTCCATATTTTATAGAGAGATTTAGAGAGTTGATATGAGTTGAATTGAGTTGATATGTTTTGATTTGGCCCTGAGGAGCCTCCTCCATTGCCTGCTCCTGTGGAAGAACCATCAGTGCCTGAGTTGGTTTGGGCGGGGATGTGTGGGGTATTCTTTAAAAAGCCTGAAGAAAATGGAAACCCAAGCATTTCGGTCCTATAGAGTCAATACATATCCAGAATAACTTGTTTAGTTTTGCCATGGGACCAAAGACTAGCCAAACAGGTGCTTGGGTGCGCTCCATCTCCAATTTTTGGCATATGTTCTTTGGTTTGATGGAAAGACCCCAAGAGACCCTATTA